CGCTGAGCCTGCATCTAGAGCCTGTGCTCCGCAACGGGAGAGGCCACAACAGTGAGAGGCCTGCGTTCCGCCAAAAAAAAAAAAAAAAAAAAAAAAAACACTAGCCTGGGAGTCCGGAGAACTGGATTCAAACTGGACCATTTACTCGCTGTGTGTCCTTGGCCAAGTTTCTCAGCCTCTCTGAGCCTCAGATTCCTCCTCTGAAAACTGTGGACCTCAAAGCGTCCTCCCAGCTTGCTTCACCTCGTTCAGTGATGAAAACTTGTCTAAATGGGGCCCAGCCAACCCTTCCACTCTACATTTGTAAAATACTGAGCCTTGGAAAGACCCAGACCCCACCACTATAAAATAATGATAATAATAATTACTGTTATTATAGTGCCCTGGCTACAGCCATTGAAGTGGGCCAAGCCCAGTCTGTTCACAGCAGCATTATTCACAGTAGCCAAAAGGGGGAAGCAACCCAGTGTCCACTGATGGATGGATAAGTAAAAGTGGTCCATGCATACAATTCTACTTATAGGAGGTATGTCAAATTCATAGACAGAAAGTAGAATGGTGGTGGCCAGGGGCTGGGGGACAAAAGAATGTCCCCCAGGGGTTGTTGATTAATGGGGACAGAGTTCCAGTTTCACAAGATGAAAAGAGCTCTGGAGATGGAAGCACAACAGTGTGAATGTATTTAGCATCGCTGAACTGTTAAAAGGGTAAATTTCGTTATGTGTCTTGTGCAACAATTACAAATATAAACAAAGAAATAAAGCAGATCTGTGATTACCTAGAAAGAACTCTAATATATATCAAGTAAGATCCCTAGGTCATAAAATTATGAATAATATGGTTTCATTTAATAAAAATGGCATTTTTGTATGCTTAAGACATTATTATATATTTAATAATTATATTTATGTATTTATATTATCTTTAGTTTTATATAAATTAGTTTACTAGTATATATTTACATATTTACTTACAGATTTAATAACTTGAAAGTATATCTATATATATGTAGATATTTAACAATATACTTAATACTAATTATTTATACATTTAATATATAATTACACTTTAACAATATATAATATCATAACCACGCATTATTTTTAAAAGCCTAGAAAGGAGTATGCTGAAATCTTAGACTTTGGGTCTTGGGGACCAAGTCTGTGCACAGTAGAGGGGGCAATCCCTTGTTTCCATGCCACCCTGAGACCCCCTCGGACAGGTGTGTGTGGCCAGGACAACCACTAATCCATAACGTGCCTTCCACAAGGTGGAAAGAGATGCCACTTCCTCAGAAGAACGCCGTGTGCCAGACACTGATGTGGATGGAGTAAGTCTTTGCTGCCATCTGGCAGGAAAAAAAAATCTCCTAAGAGCATACATCCAGCCTATGCATAGTGACCTCCTTCTAACAAGTACAGCTCAGGGGGAGGGGGTAATTTCACAGTGCGGCAACCTGGCCAGCGCTGGTCCAGCCGGGAGTTCAAGGTCAACACCGACAGCGAAACATCCCAGAAAACTTCCTCTTAATTGCTAGTCTCCACTTCTGAAGACCATGGCATAGTTTCCAACTTATTTAATATTTCTTTCCCTTTGACTGGGAATCCACTAAAGAATCATTTTTGTCACTGTGTGTTTCATTTAAGGAAACATTTACTAATATGATCATTTTTACTGTGTGAGCAGATGTCTTTTCCCAATTTAACTCCTGGAAGCCAGGAAGAATTCCAAGCAACTCACAATTATTTGATAGTTTTCCATCTTTGTTTCCACTGGTAGAAACAGCCTTCTTAAATGTTCAACTCTTTCAAATAAATTAATAATATCTTGAATTTATGTTCATGTCTAATCTAATGTTCCCAAACTGGGATAATTTCTAGTCAGAGAAAATTCCCCAAAGCTGTTTTGTAGGACAAGGTGTTCTGTACATTATTTTTTATGTGGCTGCATATCATTATAAACATAGAAACAACAGTTTAATGTATCTAAATCTGTCTTCCTTTGATGCTCATAAATTGAATATGCCCTCAGGACCATGTGGGTGTTTTTTCACTGTTATAAACTATAGTGAAATCTGAAAACAAACAAATGAAAAAAAAAATGCCAATAGCGATAAATCTTGTTACTAGATGCAGCAAGATGAATCCCAACAGAGGGCACCCTGCAAAATACCTGCCCAGTCCCCCTCTAAACTGCTGAGGTCCTCAAGACAAGGAAAGTGACAGCTACATGTAAAGTGGTGTCCTGGATGGGGTCCTGGGACAGAAGAGGACATTGGGTACAAAAGCTAAGGAAATCCGAATAAACTATGGACTTTTACAATAGCATATCAAGGTTAGACCATTAACTGTAATAAATGTATCTTACTAATGTAAGACACTAATAGTAGGGGAAATGGGTATTGGGGGGAATATATATGAATTTTCTTTACCATGTGTACAATTTTTCTAAAATCAAAAACTGTTCTAAGAACTAAAGTCTGTTAACCAGAAAAGACTGGAATTCATTCGTGAGGTCTCTGGGGCAAACAGTGGCGCTACGGGGCACCCAACTCTGACACACGTCTGTCTATACGACCCCTGCCCCTGGAACTTTCCATCCATTCTTCACCCAGCCTTTGCCACACGGCAGAGGCTGTGGCAGGTCCCTGACCTCACCGATGGACAGAGGTCCCCTTCCCAACAGACGCTTCCGCTTGAGAGGGAGGGGCAGGATCCCAGGTAGCAAATGACTCAGGAAGCCCTCAAGTGCCAGGGACCCTTGGGGACCCTTGGCTATGGCTCCCTGAGGTCTCGCCAGATCCTGGGTCTCACTAGCCTAGGGGTGACTCTCTGGGGGCTCCTTGGCCACCGTGAGCAGCCTGCTCTCACAGACACCACACCAACTGCCAGTCGATACCCACTTTCAATATCCAGCCTTCCCCTCCCTGGTGATCCCCTTCTCCAAGATGACGCAGCTCCTGACAAGGTCACCAGGACCTCTACAAGGCCTCAGTTCACAGCCAGTTCTCCATCCTTATTGCACACAACTCACCAGCAGCATTTGGTATGTGAGTGTATTAGCATCCTATGGCTGCTGTAACAAATCATCACAAACTGAGTGGCTTAAAACAAACACATGTTTATTACTGTATGGTTCTGGAGGTTAGGAGTCTGACATGGGTCTCGAGTCTGACATGGGTCTCACAGAGCTAAATTCAAAGCGTCTGCAGGGCTGCATTCTTTTCTGGAGGCTCTGGGTAAGCCTCTTCCAGCCTCTAGGGGCAGCCCACACTCCCTAACTCACGGCCCCTTCCTCCATCTTCAAAGCCAGCCGCAGTGGGTTGAGGCCTCCCAGTGCATCCCTCTGACCTTCCAATGTCACATCTCCTGACTCTCTCCTGCCTCCCTCTTCCATTTTTAAGGACCCTTGGGATTACCCTGGGACCACCGGGATGTTCCAAGATAACCTCCCTTTCATAAGGTCAGCTGATAAGCAACCAGAACACCGCCTGCAATGTTGATCTCCCTTTGCCATGTGATGTAACACACTCACAGGTTCCAGGGATCAGTATGTGAACATCTTTGGGGAGCCCTCTCTCCCTCTGAAATACTTTCCTCCCTTGACCTGTGCATCACAGTCTTGGTTTTATCTCCTTTGCTGGATGCCTGGTCCTGGTGTTGCTCCAGGCCTCTGCCCTAAGGCCTCACTCTTCTCAAACCAAACCATACTTACTCCCAAGGGGAACTCAGCCAGGCCCTGTGGCGTTAAAGGCCTGTGTACACTGTCCACTCCTTGATATAGATCTGCAGCTCAGATTCCTCCCCCAGATCAAGACTCACCCATCCACCACTCTCCTGTACATCTCCACCTGGATGCCTCATAGGTACGTCAAACTCAACAAGACCAAGTCAGAATTCCTGATTGCCTCCGAGGTTTCTGCATATTAGCTAACGGTATCTCTAGTCTCTCATCTGCTCAGGCCCAAGTCCTTGGTTTCATCCTTGACTCCTCTCTTCCTCTCTCTCAACCCACATCCAATCCCAGCAAATCCCCTGGCTCTACTTTCAAAGTATATCCCCAATCCACAACTTCTCAGCAGCCCTCCACTAACCTCCCTGGTCCATTTCACCTCCATCATCTGCCTGGTCTCCCACATGCCTCCTCTCTTGGTTTTTCTTTCCACCTCTGCCCTCTATCCTCTACTCCCACACCTGCCATGGGGATGCTTTAAAAAGATGAGCCAGGGCTTCCCTGGTGGCGCAGGGGTTGAGAGTCCGCCTGCCGATGCAGGGGACGCGGGTCTCATGATTGGCCTTCTGTTGATTTCTTTTGAAACTTTCTTTTTCCTGAGTATTGTTTTACTGATAAATTAACACAGCTACCTTCATGTTCTATCTCAAAAGGTCAGAGATAGGAAACGCTGATCTGCAGCTGGGCTTCTGTGGCGGGTGCTTCTCCCTCTGCAAACATAATCCCGTTTGCCTTTGGAGCCCAGGGACAGCGTGGAGAAAGGCAGCTTTAATTGGGGTGCACGCCTTCATGCAGACACTCCACTCCGCTGGGGTAAGGTCAACAAACCAACCCCCAAAAAAAAAAAAAAAAAAAAAGACGAGTCAGAGCAAGCCACTTTTCTGCTCAAAACTCACCCATGGCTTCCATCTAACTCAAAATAACAGGCAGTCTTAACCATGGGCCACAGGGCCTTTCCTGATCTGGCCCCTCCTCACCCTCTAGCTTCACCTCGTCCCCCTCCTCCCTTCTCCCCCCACCCCTCCTCAGGCCACACCAGCCTCCTTACTGGTCCTGGGCCACACTAAGCACTTCCCACCTCTGGCCTTGTCCTCACTATGATCTCACTCTGGAAGTTTTTCTCCAGAAGCACCCATGCCCCTCCCTCATTCCATCCAAGGCTCTGCTCAACTGTCATCTCCTAAAAGCGCCTTCCCTGACCACCCTGACCATGGCTCTCAAGGTCATCTCTGCCAGTCCACTTTGCCCGCTGTATTTCTCTCTACAGCCTGACCACCAACTGCCACACTATAGATTAACACCATTTAGTGTCTTTCTCCTGCCCCAAGAATGCAGGTCTAAGAGCAGAGACTGTCTTGTCCCCTTGTATCTCAAGCACCCAGAACAGTCTGGCACCTAAAGGGCCTTCCATAAACACTCAGAAGCCTCTTGTCCACTCAAGCCTTCACTGTTTCTCTCCTTCTGACAAACTTCCAATAGCACTTTCTGGGACGATGGAAATGCTCTATGGTCTGGGCTGTCCAATATGGGAGCCACTAGCACATGGGGCCATCGGGCACATGAAACGTTTAAATTCCAACAGCCACAGTACTGGACACAGCCAATGTACTGGACACAGCAGTTTTAGAACAGCTGAGAAACAGTTGTAAACTGGCTGTTAGCTTGCCCTTTGCAGGAGGGGAGAGATAATAAGTTAATATGAGCATTTGGGTTCCAGTTTTCAAAGCACTCTTCTGTAGAGCCTAGCATCCATGTAAATGTTCTGGCATTGGCTTCCCAAAGGAAAGATCAGGTGAGTGAGCTCTGAATGGGGGTCCATTGTGAGAGCACAGGACAGGCCTGGGGGTTTGGCTCCCTGAGCCTTGGTTTTCTCATCAGCAAAATGGGCCAGATACTTCCCACCATGCCAGACAGGAGCAGGTGAAAGGACCTTGTGAAAATGTTCATCATGAGCTTTATAAAAGCTCAGTAAATTGACACAGCATTATCACTTTGTCTTCTCTAGTGAAAACCTAAGAACTAATCATAGAGAGTGAAGGGAATCTCATTTAAGAGACCTAAAACTCTGTAGCAAGTGTAGCAGGCACTCTAGGGTCTACAGGTAGAAAACTCAACAGGACAAGAGGAGCCGGGCCCTGGGGGAGGGCTGGGAGGACCACAGGGCAGCGATGGGCCAGACCACTGGACAGACATTCCTGGGAACAGAAGCCTGGATTTGCAACAGGGGTCAGGGTGGAAAGGGGATATAAGTGGCGAGCGGGGGGTGGGGCAGAGTGGTCAGGTGTATACCATGGACAGGTCACCTAGAGGTGGGGGGAGGAATGGACAGGAAATTAGGGTGTGAGGGTGACCCAGAGGAAACAACCAGCAAAGGCCAGAGGCTGAGGGGTGGGGACTGAACCTAGTGGATGCAGCCGGGTGGGCGAGGGAGTGGGGAGCAGACATCAGAACTGATTAGGAGGAAAAGGCAGGGGGACTGGTGACCAGATTTGGCGGAGGGAGAGGGGAAATCTAGGGTGACAGCCAGAGCTCTGTGCCCCCCCCCCAAGTTAGGCACCACACAGGAAGGGGCAGGGTGAAGTGGAAAGTGGCTAAATTTGCAGTCACAGAAAACGCCAGCAATAGTGCCTTTTATCAACTGCTACACTCTCCCGAAGCACTCACCTGTGTAAGATGCTCTACCTACATCCCTGAGCTCATCTAAACTCTCACATCGACCCTCTGGGGTGCACCCTGCAATAGTTACAGATCAGGAGACCGAGGCACGAGAAGTGAAGCTACCTGCCCTGGGTCACAGAGCTCTTAGGCTGCTTAGAGGGATCGACCCGGCCTCTGGCAAGGTCCAAACCCACAGCCACCAGCCACACCGCTGTCTCCACATTTCCAGGGAGTTTTCTGGCCACAAGCGTTGAGGAACACGGGTTGCATCCTACTCAGATCCCGCCCTCCCTTTAGGGTAATTTCCCTAACCCGAAGGGGCCTCCCCGCCGCGGGTATAGGGTGAAGCCAAACTTCCCAACTCAGTCCCGAGACTGGGGGCGGGCCCTCCTTACCTCCGCGGTCTGCTCGGGCCCCGCCCCGGGAGCCGAGCGGGGATCCTGGGGAGGCTGGGCACCGAGGGGGCGCCGGAGGGGACCCGGGTCGGCGGGGAGCCGGCCTCGGTCCCCGGACCCCGCGGGCAGCGCCAGGGCGGCAGCCAGGAGGCCCCCGGCCAGCACCCACGTGGCGCGCCCCCGGGCGCCCGCCGAGCCCATCGCCAGCCAGGGACGCGAGACCCCAGACGTGGCGGGGGAAGGCCGAGTTGGAGCAGCTTCCGGACCCCAGGCCCGCCCCGCCGCCGAGCATGCTCAGTGAGAGCCTCCGCGGAAAGTTTTCTGGAACAGACACAGGCATCTGGGGCTTGGCGGGACCGGAGGAGGCTGAGGACCAAGACCGACGTGGGAGGGAGGGAGCCAGGCTGGCGCGGCGGGCGCTGGGCGGCCACACTTGAGTTTGATCGCGCCCCAGCCGGGGGCTCTACCAAAATCAGATTGGGTGACCCCTGCTTCCAAAGATTTCAGGGGCTCCAAGTGCCCCTCCATTAATGACTCCTCCGTTCTCTAAGTCTCAGCTCAGACTCACCTGCTCCAGCAAGGCTTCCCTGACACACACACACCGCACTAAATCCGGAGTCTGCCCAAGGCCCACCAGCCCCCTATTAGAGAACTGTGAAACTTTTACAGAGGCAGGGTCATGGGTATACAGGACAGCAAGGAGAGGGGCTGGGAGGGAAAAGACAGCTCAGAGGCTAGAGAGGAAGGCCGCTGTTGATGTCCTGTTGGGTTCTGTTCAACCCAGTGAGGTTCCCACTGTGTGAACCCTTGCTGTGGATGAGCCCTTGGACATGTCCAAGAAGCCACCCTCACATTCCCCCAGGAGGGAGGGGTGGGCAGTTGGTCAGGACAGCCACTGGGGGACCTCTCTGGGGAGCCGAAATTAGGGGAGTTGGTGTCTGGAGCCAGGAGGCAGCAGCTGAGCAAACTCCCAGAACTCTCCATGGCAGCAGGGCTGTTACTACCCTGGGCTCCCAGGGACAGCTTACACCTCTTCACCCTCCTGCAGCCTTCCTGCAGGGCACCTGTCATGCTGTCTGCAGCCTCAGGCCAGGAAGCCTGGCACCTGTGCTCCTTCTTACCCTGCCCCTCCGAGGACCATCCTTTCCTGACTTGACAGGGACAAGACAGTGGGGTTTGGGAATCTGAGAGTTTATTAGCCAAGCTTTCCACACAGGGTACACTGTCCTTGGGGGTACACAGCGTGTGCCAGGAGTGAGACAAGGCCAAAGACTAAATGCTAGCATATTGCTGGAGCATTAATTCTATTAGTGAGAAATGTAAAGGATGATTTCGATATGCAACCAATTTTATAATAAAGATGCGAAGAATACTACATTTTAAGAAGTAAAAGCCTGAGTATCCAAGAAAATAGCCACCATAAAGCAAGAACTTCTGGTTATTGCCCTCATACATGTTCCCAGGAGCCTTGGATCTGCTCCTAAGGAAACATTTAAGAAGCACCGCGTGGCAGAGAGTGTGAGTCCTGAAACCAGACAGACACGAGTGTGAATATATGTGCCCAGTTTCCTATTGCAAGACCTTGAATGGGCCGCTTCTCCTGTCTGGCTGTCAGTTTCTTCATCTATAAAAAGTAAATCTAGATAATAGTTCCCATCTTGCCAACTTGGAAGGAGTGAAGAGGAAATGATTTAAAAAGCCAGAAACTTGAGCTGGACGTCCAGGTCAAGGACACAAAACCCCTCTCTGGATCCCCAGAGATCCCCATGGTACCCCTGCTCTGGCCCTCACAGGGAATTAAGCTCCAAAGGGTAGGGGTGTGAGTGCATTCATGCATGCATGCATGCACGTGTGTGTGTGTGTGTGTGTGTGTGTGTGTGTGTGTGTGTACCCCAGCGCCCAGAAAGAGAGCTAGCATCAGTAAATGTTGCTTAAAGAAAGAACAGTTGCTGAATTCTTCTGCCTATCTCCCCACACAGCAGTGAAATCCTCACTGGTGGACCTTGTCTGGTTGGTGGCTGCCCTGGTGCTGGTTCAAACAGCAGGGTCTCTGGAAATGCTGAGTGAATGAATGACCACGCAGCATCTCCTGGCTAGCCAGGGGCTGAGGGTAACAATCTCCTTACACGTACGTAGTCTTAGAGGAAAGCATTGACCATCCTGGAAGAAAATAGTATTAAAACAGGAGTCTGCAGGCAAACAAGTTCAGAGGCAAGGCCGGACTGTGCGGTCCCAAGGGGGCCAATTGGTAGAGGTCAGGAGCAAGGCTGAGTCAGACTCGCAATGTATCACTTAGTGCTGACCCTGAGCCTCGTGAGGAGAAAGGGCGCGTTAATAGTGCCCATCTCCGAAGGTTGTTAAGAAAGTTACTCGGATCATCAGGCTAAATGCTCAACAAATCCTAAGCACTCAATAAACAACCGAGCAACACCCTCCTCCCTGGCTGTGGTCCCTCCCCCTCTGGAAGTCAAGAGGCCCGTGCAAATCAAGACTCCTCCCAAAAGCTTCTCTCGGCTGAGAAGCACGCCTCTGGCCGGGCATGCTCAGTGCAAAGGCAGGGCTGGAGGCGGGGGTGGTTCAAAGTTTTGGGCGGAGGGTCCAGGCTCCTCCCTCCGGCTGGGCAGCGCCGGGAAGCTGGAAGGGGAGTTGGAGGAAGGAGGCTGCACAGGCCGGAGGAGTCGGCGGAGCGCGCCGCGCCCCTGGCCCGCCGGGAACCAGGTCCACTGAAGACCTGGCGGGGATGGAGCTCCGAGCGGCGGGAGGGGGCAGCGCGCGGCAGCGGGTGGGATGCGGCGGGCCGGCCGCCTGAGCACCCCCGATGGCCCGTGGCGCGGCGACCTGCGGGAGCGACGCGCGGCTGCAGCTGGGCCGGGACGCGGTGCGGCCGGCGCCCGCGCTGCTGGTCCCCGCCGTGCTGCTGGGCACCGCACTCGGCCTCGGCCTCGGCCTCAGCCTCTGGCTCGGCTGCCGCGCCGCCCGCCCGCGTCCGCCGCACCAGGTGGGTCGGCCGAGCGGGCAACCGGGGTGTGGGGCGCGGGGGCGCGGTCTTCCTCGGCCCTGTGGTCCGGGTTTCCAGCCCCCTTCTCTGAGCCCATTTGAGCGTGATCTTGGGCATCGCTCGCAAAAGGTCTTGCCCTGGGGGATTCCCCTTCTGCTGCGGGAGGCGGCTGGAGGCAGTGATTTCAGGGGGAGCCGGCCAAGTGACAGAAGGGCTCTGGCTTGGAGTTGCCCCGAAGTGTCTGCTCCATCCGACAACGCTGTGTGACCTCAGCTGATGAAGGCCTGCAGGCCTCAGTCTCCTCATCTGTAGCACTAAGCGTTTGGACTTATGGGCGGAGCTCAGCGTGGTGGACAGGAGGGCAAGGGATTTCCCCGACCCTGGATGTCCATTCTGCTTCCTTGCTGTGTGCATTACCCAGTTAGCTCCTCTTGAGTCCCAGCTGCTACATCAGCATGCATTCAACATTCGACCACACAGCAAAAGTTTGCTGAGCACCTTCTACTGCCAAGCATGGCCTAGGGCCTTAGACACCACATCAGTGTACAGGATAAACCCTGATCCTGCCCCTGGAGGTTCACAGCCTCTGGATGGACAGATTACAAGTAAACACTTGATTATAACACAGCCTCATCATGAGTTCTGTGATGGGGAAATGAAAATGCTAGCATTTATTGAATTCTGTCTGTATGCTGGGTGTTGAGCTACACTTTCTACCTGAAAATGATCTCATTGACTCTGCAAAACAGCTTGTGAGCTTGTTCCATTGATGTCCCCATTTTGCAGATGAGGAAACTGAGGTACAGAGAGGTTAAAATAACTTGCCAAATGATAGGCGTGTGTGTCTAACCCCAAGCCACTGTATAGGAGGTGGATGGGATTGGTCACAGGTGGCTGCCTGAAAGGGATTAATGGATGCTTCATATGGCAGTTGTTGTTACGGAATCGGATGTTGTGCGGAGGTATCGGGCATACAGCAGGCATTCCATCAGTGGTGGTATGATCACTGTTTTAGGTTCCTGCAGCTTTGACCTCTTTTGAGGGATGAAGTCTGGTGGGATCTGAGATAAGGTGGTGTGGTTTTGTTCCCCCATTCCTGGCCCACATGAGAAGGGGATGCATCCAGCAGATGTAAGCATCTCACATGGCAGGTGAATTCAGGGGCGTGTGGTGCTGCAAAGGGGTGATGAAAGTTGAAATTAACATAGTGCAAGATGCTTGTAGGTAAGTTTGAGGTTGTCACATCCCGCTGGTGATTAAGAGACACTGGCTCCTTGTGTGAAGAGGGAAATAACACGTCAGAGCCTTTCCTGGGTGCCAGGCCCCTTGCCAGGAGTTTGCGGGCATTTGTTTCTATATTCTCACTCCAAGCCTTTGCGTGGGGGGTCTGTCAGCCTCACTTTCCAGGTGAGGACATCTAGGCTCTGCAAGGTTGTTCTCTGTCCAGGGTCACATGATGTATAAACAGTGGCTGGACTTCAACTGCAGTCTGTCTGAACCCCTAAGTCAGAGTGTTTAGTCATCCGCTACCTGGTAAGGTGACAGTTAGTATCTGTTTTAGTCTGGGCTGCTATAACATAAATACCATCAACTGGGTAGCTGATAAACAACACAAACTTATTTCTCACAGTTCTGGAGGCCGAGAGTCCAAGATCAGGGTGCCAGCATGGTTGGGTTCTGGCTAAAGTCCTCTTCCAGGTTGCAGATGACTGACTTCTTGCTGTGTCCTCATATGGCAGAAGGGACAGGGGAGCTGCTGGGGCCTCTTTTATCAGGGCACTAATCCCATTCATGGGAGGGCTCCACCCTCATGACCTAATCACCTCCCAAAGGCCCCACCTCCAAATACCATCACCTTGGGGGTTAGAATTTCAACACATTAACTGAGAGGGAAAGGGACACAAACATTCAGACCATAGAGTAGCCCATTTCACAGCTGAGTAAGCTGAGGCTGACAGACACTCACCAAGCTGTCCGGGTTTGCACAGCTGGTCGGTCACAGCTGCACTAGTCCAGTTGAGGGTGGTGGTGGCTCAGACCAGGTTTGTAGCTATGGAGGGGGCTCTGTCTCAGGGGTAGGGCTGGTTGGATTTTCTGATGGTTTGGATGTGACCTTTGTAGCACTCCTTTCTAAGTGTCCTCCTTTCCTCCGTCTCCTGCCTCTAATTTCTATTTCTAAAATAGAAGCAATATGACTGTCCTG